TCCTCCATAACCACCGAAATAGGGGGTTCTTCTTTGACGGACTAAATGTTTTTCCTACAATTACAATCGCATGCTTTAAAAAATAGATATTTATTCTTGCAATTAAAAAACCCAAAAGTTTTAAATTTTAATTAGAATTGTTACAGTCACATTAAAAAGTATAAATATAAATATTCAAGTTTACGTCGAAAGTAAACTCTATTTTTCGTTCGAAATCGATAAATTAATTACCAACTAATAATTTTCTTGTTCTTAAAATCAAGTTTTCTAATTTCTAGGCATACTCAAAAGGAATAGTTGTCATTATTAATTTAAACTAAAATTGTTCCTTGCAAAACACTTGGTTACATTTAATATAAATATTCTTTTTATTCGACGAATTAATGTGGGTTAAGCAATTTGCTAATCCTGCAAGCTACGTTATAAAAAGTAAGTAAAGTCAATGGAGAAGCCGGGATAATACATAATATAAGGATATAATATAACAAAATCGTAGATAGCGATGTATTATTACTTTAAAATTGCAAATAAAAAGACATAAAAATTTATATTCGGACTCGTTAAAATTATCAAAAAACAGAAAAAAAAAATTAAATTCAGGATTATTTAAAATTATTACTGAATTTTTTAAAGATCTTGCAAGTATAAACTGTTACCATGTAGATATTATTAAAAATAATAAATTTTGAAAATTCTAGGCATTGTGCATTTGTGAGAAACTCACTTCTGAACCTTTAAGGACTTCTCCATTGACCGGTCTGAAGTAAACGCCATCGTTAATGGCTTCATCTTCGGGGATGGGTTTTAGAAGTAAATTACCCGTTTGAGAACCAATACTACTACTACTATCGATATCGTTACTTAATTTTTCTACACCGTTTCTACCACCGGATTTTTCATCAATAGGACCAAGATAATATAAAACACTAACCGCATTATTTCCATTTCCCTGCACAAGAAGGGCAGTTGTTACAACAACCGTCAACACTGACCACCTCATCTTGTAATAAGAGACTACAAGAAGTAACAAGAAGTTATTCCTTATATATACCTGTCAGTATGCGCCACTCTTCGGCGTTTTTATTCGTTTAACACATCACGAATTCGTTATGTAACCTAAACAAAAAAAGGTGTTTATCTTTTTCTTCGGATGAGCATAGACAGTTGGCAATTTAAAAAAAAAAACTGTCGGACGGATAGTAGACAAACCTAACACTACACGTGTGTTCGTAATCTATTTGATACATATTAGCACATATCAAGGTTTCTAACAGAAACGCAATGAGTTCATTGAATTGGGCACCTGTATAAAGTTAACGTCATCTCTACTAATTGTCAGTGTCTAATGTAAAAACCGTGTTATTTTTGAATCTGTTGAGATTTTCGTTATTCAGTTTATCGATCAGTGGAACAAGTGCGAAAGATATTTTTCGAGGAAATTGAAACAAGAATTATTAACGAAATAGCTCGTGTTACAAATTATGTTTAAAATCAGGTTACTGTACTATGAATATTAAGCAACTATTAAAAAAAAAAAAACAAAAAAAAAAGACTTGTACTTACGAAGCTGTTACCAAGTTTTTTTTGAAATGTAAATGAAGTAATTAATAGAAAATGAATTAATCTTAAAACAATCGTAGTGCTATAAATTAATCTAAAAACAGTGTAACATTTCATAGACAAATATTTGAACCGAATAGTTATCAAATATTGAGTTGGTGTTGCATCTAGAAAATCACAATAAAATTTTTTAAGTATGAAAATATTGATTACCTAGTAGGAGTTTTACGATTATTATTTTTAATATGTAAACATTTAATGTTTTCTTATTTTATATAAAAAATCTTATATTAT